ACCACGATTGAAATAACGGGCTATATTTTTATCGAGGACGCATTACCTGTCCGCCAACGTGAAGGGACAGAGCCTCAGAGGAGTCTGTATGCACCCCCTGTGAAGCTGCTCAAAGAAGAACAAGCTTCTTCAACGTACTTCAGTACCGAAGACGCTATACATGCAACGCTTTCTCCATCCAGCTTCATTCTTCCGATCTCGCCACATTCACGTTTGAATCTCCTCACAAGCTTAACGTCATCCAGGCCAAGCCGCCGTCCTTAATCTCACCTCTTTCCTCGGTGCGTCGCCATACAGGCACATGGCACCCGAGGACCCAAATTCAGTGAACGACGACCGTATAAGGACCTGGACTATTTCGTGGTGCAGCTCGTGGACTTCGGTTGCGGATGGGACAGGCACGACATTTTCATTGACAATGCGCCTGAAGCCTGGGTTGCCATTACCGGGGCACTATTTAGCATGTCCAACAAACTCTCAGGGTTCTCGCCCTGAGTGCTGAGGACTCACGTCCGCTTGGACTGGAGTTACGCCTGGTCGGAAATAGTAGGGGACTTCGTCCTCGAGCCCACAGACTCTCACGAGGGCCCTAAAATCGCGGTTACACGCGAGGAAGAACAGATTCCGTTCCGAAAAAATGCTCCAAGGAAGCTCCTTTGGATAGCCGGCGGGATTGGAATAACACCTTTCCTCGCTATGCGCTCCGACATTCCCCCACACTTCGCCGAGTATGAAATCACCCTTTTGTTATCTACGCGCGAGCCAGATGTGATGCTCTCTCTTCTTTCCAATGCCATCGAAGCTGCTGCCCACGAGGTCAAACTAGTCGTTCATGTCTTTTCGCACACCGAACAATTCGAGAGCTCCTTGCCCGTTTCCGTATCGCTTCATCGTCATTCTGGACGGATCACTTCCTCGTTTACCTCTGACTTCAAAGCTGAATGTGTGTATATTTGCGGCCCAGAAATATTCGAGCGGGAGGTTGTCCAGGGTGTGTCGGGAAGGTGAGAAGGGAGGGATTTGCTTACTGATGTATGTCAAGGTTAGGCGCGGTGTTTCTTGACTTTCTTTCAGAATGTAAGGAAGTTCTTCGAGGTCTTAATCGCACGGCCATAGACATGTTTAGTATCTGCACAACACTTTGTTCGGTCCTCGGCCGTACATCAGAGGCTGAGGCAGGTTTTTGTATACGATCGTGTTCAAGTGATAGCGCCTGTGCTACATCTGATCCGCTGGCCGGTTTGGAAAAGGTGGTAAAAACAAGGTGACTGAAAGTACGTAAGGACTTGGTGATGAATCTGATGATACCTTTTGCCTGGATAACGTAAGCGATGTCAATCAGTGTTTCACTAAACTGGTCTTTTTCTCATCGTCCTCCGAGCCTTCAAAAGCTCGATTGACAGTCGGCGATTGCGAACGCTATCCTAGAAAATAGTACTGGAATTAAATTCGGCGGGTGGCATCATTTTTTTTGTGGACGTGCCTCGAGGAGGAGCGCTCTTCGGCAGGATCCATGGGCCCCGGCCCCCTAATTCCCCATTCATGAGGCCTGAAGGCCTGAGCACTGAGCCACTCATCCCCACATCAAGCAGGTAACCAGAAATTACCTTACAAGGAAAGAAATAATGAAAAGTGTTGAGACGCAATCGAGCCCCCTCCCACTCTTTTGCCTTCCCCGCTAACCGAGTGGCTCGTCCCTTATGTTCAAACCATCGCACACGATTGCTCCGCGCTTTTTGCCTTTAAAGGCAGAAACGCGCGTTGCAGAAAAACAATCGCACTCGAATTCCACAGCACGCCTGGTGGTTCAAAAGAAGCGGGGAAAATGTGTGGACTTGCCACAACACACGCGCTATTGATTCATTCCAGGGATTTAAGCCCACCTCGCAGATCATTTGCAACCGTTTCTTTTCTATCAAATACTACTACAAAATGCCTGCTACAAGACCTAACTTGGTACGCTTCCAGCCTACCTCACTTCACGCGTCTTGTACTCATGACACACGCTACAGCAATCTGTTGAATGCCCTGTCTGCCACAGGGTTATTAGCCGCAAGGCCGATCTTCCTAGACACATGCGTATACACGCTGAAAATAAGGATGCACTGTACGTACTCGCTCTCTATTAAACCAGATGGTTCTTGACCTGTTGACTATCTTCATCAGTAAGCACGCATGCCCATATGATGGATGTGATTACAAAACCCTCCAAAAGTCCAACGTCCAGACGCACATCAGGACCCACACCGGGGAACGCTCTAAAATGTGCCTTCACCCTGGATGTAAATTTTCTACCACCGATCCAGGCAGCCTGACGCGGCACCGCAAGTCAGAACACGGTTACAAGCCCAAAGCGCGTCACATTCCAGACGGCAAAGCTGCTCGACAGTCCGCCGCCGCGCCTTACCCTTGTATTCGATTTGTGAAGCCAAAGGTAGAGACTCCTGCCTCGCTGGATCTTAATGACCTAACATTTCCTGAGTTCCCAGGTCTCACACCCTGCGGTGCACTCTCGCCCTCCGAGTCCAGCGACTCCCAAATCCCGGGCGAGTTCACGGAACTCTCCTTGGACCGACTCTTCCCCGATCTCTCTGCCGAAAGCTTCACCTCCATATGTGGTCAGCCCTCTCAGCTCCCCGTACACACCCCGAACTACCTCCAGCCTCCGACCGTCCCCGTCGATCTCTCCGCTCTCTACATCGACCCGCAGTTGCTCTCCGATGCCGCGCATCCGCAGCCCATTCACGCTGTCGGATTTCAGTCTCAGTCCCAGCCCATCGCCAATGAGGACTTTCAGTACCAGCCCGTCTCCGGAACAGATGTGAACAACAAATCACCAGTTGATCTGGAGGAGTTTTTACAAAAATATGGCTCGGGGTTCTTTGAAGGCCGCTGCGAGTATCCTGAAAATGCACCGTATTCGACGGCAGAGCCCTCGTTTACAAACGAATACAACGTCTATTGAATATTCTCTTTCATCTTTCATCTTTTATCTTTCACCTTTCATCTCGTTGTCAAATCACCTGTGCATCAGCATCACAAATACATGTAGAACTCGGAATTATCATTATTGGTCATTTATTTCACATCACTTGCATCCTTTGTACATATCTTCAACTTCAAATTACTGGATGTACCATTGACAGCAGTACACGAATCTCATGACAATGAAATACAAATTGATCAGAATCTTATCGGACGCGACTGATCACGTGGTTCGAAAATCACATCGTGACAAAGTCATCAAGTGGCCTCTTGACATAACCACTACCGCCACTTGAGCCTGAGATGCACGCTGCCAGCACGTTTCCTTGAGCCACGCCATAGCTCTGTCCACACTGTTTTTCTATATCAATTACCTTTATTTTTTTCATTTCTCTCATTTCTCTCTCTGTCTCTGTCTCTCACCGTTTGACGATATACTTTTGAGTCAACGACATACAGCATTGGTTATCTACTACATCACAATCTGTATCAATTTCGGTTTAATAACTGTATTTCATGTCCACGATCCTCTCCAGCTCGGAAACGACAAACAATTCGCCGACTCCGATCAGTCCTTTCTCCAATTATTCAGCTGCTAGTGACGCAACTTCAGATGGTGAGTCACCGCCATCGTGATCTTCTCTATTCTATTTTGGTGAAATGCGATCTAATATGATGAACTTTGATTTGTGGGCGTTAGAGTCACCCGACCTCGGGGCTTTCACCACTGTCTTTAGGGCCCTCAACCACCTCCAGCCATTCGTGCCTCCTCGAGGGGGTGCCTACACCCACGCAGAGCTTGACACACCCTCCACTGATGCCGGCCCGCCCTCTTCACTTCCGACGGACTCGGAGTTCATAGAAGGCTCTACGGTATGGAACCAGAGCATGCTAGCGTCTTATCTCGCATCCTCGAGCTCCTCACACACACGCTCAACGTTGACCAGCATGACTGCAAGCCCGTGCCTTCCAAATCCCGACGACAACTTTGATGACTCCGGAGAAGAGACGGAAGGCGAGCTTGAACCGCTCATATTCACGTTCACGACACCTAGTCGATCACAGTCTCATAATTCGGATGCAGATCTGAGTCACGATCATTCACTCTCTGATGGTGATATTGACTTAGGGGACCAACCCAGTCTTGGTGACCTCGGTGGCGCGTTTTCCTTTCTTGCTGCGGAGCGTGCCAGAATTGCTGCCCGTGACCGTGGTACAGGTAAAGATAGCTCCACGAGCGATGGCGCTTGGAGAAACGAGGCAGAACCTCGCCGTACACGAAAGCGGAGAAGGAAAAAGGCGAGGGTCATTCAACTCCTGCAGCGAGATCGAGAAAATGTGGAACAGGAGAGCACGAGTCACACCACGGGAACCAGCACAGTATTGGGCGTATCTGGGACAACCGGCGTTATCGCTGTCTCCTCGAACCCAGAGCCCGAACCTGAGATAGGAGAGTCGTCGTCTTCTGGCGATAATGTTGCTGTTACTATGCCTTCGACGCCTGCACACAAGTCATCGTTAGATAGGCTACGCCACAGTCGTTCTACCCCATCATTGCATCTATCACAGATACCCACCAATCCTCAAATTCTTAAGTTACGTTGCCTTGCCCATAAGCTACGACTCAAATTCCCGGAGGACTACGACCGCATTACGGCGTTACTCACGCAGGACTTTAGTGGTGCCGATTCCGACTTCTCAGACCCTAGGGGTCCAGCGCCGCGACCTAGAGACTCTTTGATTCATGTTTTTATCGACCAGTGAGAATTTTTGTCACCTGAATCCAATGGCTGCTAATGTATCATTTCAGTTCGAATATCCTTATCGGTTTCTTAACCTATGCTCGCCGTCACGCCTCTCACTCGGGTAGGAAACGACGCCTCTCCCACGCAGCCCTCGCGCTCCTCCTTGAACGCGGACGCCCCATTACGCGGCGTTGCCTAGCCACTTCCTCCCCGCTGTATCAACCAACAGACACAGCCGAACAACTCGGGTACGAAGTTTGCATTTTTGTGCGTGTGCCAGACGGTGGGAATGGCCAGTACCGTCGTCCACCAAGTGCCAACACCAATGCAGAATCATGGCGCAAGGGACACGCGCGAGCATCATCAGACTCTGATAAAGGCGTAGGTGGAAGCGGAGGCACAGGCTTGACTGCGTCTGGGAACGGCGGCCGTAATGGACGCGTCCGCTACCGAGAGCAGGGGGTCGATGAGCTGTTGCAGCTTAAGCTGCATCAGGCGATCGCGGATGTGGACGTGCCGCGCCCGGGTGCGACAATAGTGCTAGCAACGGGTGATGGGAACGTCGGGCAGTTCAGCGACCAGGGCTTCCTTGGTCCTGTGCGAATCGCACTGAAGAAGGGATGGCGCGTCGAGCTGTACGCATGGGAGGAGGGCCTGAGCCGTGCGTGGAAGAAGGAATTTGGGGAGGGCACGCCGTGGAAGGATAGGTTCCGCATTATCAAGATGGAGGATTTCGGGGAGGACTTATTAGAGGTCGAATAGGGGCGGTGAGCGGCGCTGTCTGTGTTTAATTGTTTTGTCGAGATGTATGTTCTTTTGTTGTTGTGCATGTTGTTACGGGGGAGTTGGCCTTTATGCTGACTCAACGATACGGTTCCTTTTATCTCGGTCTGTAACAAGCATCCACAAATTTATTTCCCAAGCAGTTATGAGTTACTGTTATCATAGGTTTTGTGGAACATCAATTATGTTCTCGTATACGTAGCTATGTCCATCATGGAAATTACGAAGTTAACATAGACTCTTCTCCAGCTTCCTGTCAAAGGGTTCCAAATGGTCCGGTCCTCGGAGACCGCGTTGCTCTCTATGGAGTGCTATCGTTGAGGATGGTTACCAATTAATACTTGTCGCATCATGTATGGGATTGGCATCAAGGTCATCGATTATTCACAAAATTCTCGTTTGACCTTTCAAAAGGACACATGCGGTCGGCGAAGGCCATGGCTTTGTCGAAATCCGCTTTCTTGTCAAGGAGAAGCTTTTAGCTCTCACAGAACGCAGTGGTACAGAGCTTTATGATATCGAGGACCTGTCAAACGCACCGTAGCTTCAG